AAATGAAAATAATTGTTTGAACAACTTTTTAATACTCATTCTGAGTTTAATAAATGTTGCTGAGATTATTTTGTCTCCTGGTGTCATTCTTTTGAATTATTTTGCTTTTTAATTCATCGTAATCTCACAATCTTTAGAAATTGCAAACACTTGGAGACAAATGAAAATTATAGGAGATCGTCAAAATAATTAAAAAATAACTGCAGAGTTCCAAAGACAGGCTAGGAAGGACAAAGAAGAATATTTTAATAATAAATGCAAAGAAGTTGAATTAAATAATTCAAAAGGACGTACAAGGGATCTCTTCAAAACAATTAAAGAGGTCGTTGGAAAATTTACCCCTAGGCTTGGTATTTTAAAGAACACACATGGAAAAGATTTAATGGAAGAAAGTGAAATAAAGAGAAGATGGAAAGAATATACAGAACAACTTTATAAAGCAGATAATAATATAGAAGAAATAATTGAAGGAAGACATTTTACTTTGGAACCATCAATTTTGAAGGAAGAAGTGGAATGGGCNTTACTTTATTCTGATCATTTAATTAGCCATACATATACATATACATAATTATTTTATTAGGTACTAATGAGTACATTCCTTGGCCCCGCATTTGGCATTACCAAGGGGAAAAAAATACAATAATATATAATACATAATGCAGTATTATAATAATACAATAATATATTATACTGACATGAATTTTATATGACAAGGAGTACAGTAATGTTAACATAATTTAAGTGATAAAAAAAAAAACACATTAAAACATGTGGAAGATAGCAAAAATAAAAATAAAATACACGTGTAGGAGTGCTGGAGATTAACAGCCTGACCATGGAATTGCATGGTGGGAAGCAAGAAGAGTGACTGAAAAGAACAGTCAAATACAGTAACAAAATAATTAACATGGCACCATGAGTTATAGGAAGGTTTGAATATTATTAATATGGTTGATCTGTTTGGTGATTCTTTCGAAGGCAGTGTAAGTATCCTTTGTGATCCAAATGTCATTTGGCCTGCAGGGCCAGTTGATATCTTGCTCTTGTAGGGTTATCTGTAATTCAATTCGTTCTCTAGCAAAAGTAGGACAATGGAAAAGATAGTGTAAAGAACCATCCTCCACTTCACATGTTGGGCAAAGCTTTGAAGTGCCATGGTGAAATCTATCAAGGTAGGTAGCATACCTGCCATGGTTCGTTAGAATCTGGGAGTTATAATGGTTTGGGTTGTACCAATTGTTTTTTAAGAATTCTTCGATGTTAGGGATAAATGTATAAGTTATATGGTTACTTTGTAGGTCCCATCTCTCCTGCCATTGTCGAATTGTATCCGTTCTAAGGATATTATTAATTGTACGTCTACTGATCTTGTTATATGCAATGGGCAGTGTGTCGTCAACTGCTGCTTCCTTTGCGAGGAAGTCTGCTCTCTCATTGCCCAAATTCCCTTGATGGGCTTGAATCCATTGGATGTCATACCTGTTTGTAGAGAAATGTATCTGATTCCTAATTGTTTCTGCTAAAGGATGCAGATTTCTATTTTTGATAAGTTGTAACAATGAGAGTGAGTCAGTAAAAATCTTTATATTATAATTGTTATAGGTGGAGTTAGTATAATCAATAGCCATCTTTATGGCCCACATTTTGGCCTGAAAGATAGTACAGTCATTACTTAGGCAAAATTTGCAGTGTTTAATTTCCATATTATTATTGTACAAGACATAACTGCAGCCAACACAGTTATCATGATTAGAACCATCAGTGTAGATTTGCAGAGTGTCACCGTTAGAATGCATACCTTTGTTAAAGATAGTTTTTTCCGGAGGCAGGGTGTACCTTATCTGTGAGGGCCACTCTACATCCTGATAGGTAATTTCACGAGTAGTCGTTACTATGTTTTCGCCTCTTATTTAATTAGCCATATAATAGCCCAATATTTAGGCAATCTTTTGGCAATTTAGTATACTATTCGGGCTTTGAATGTTGTTATTTATATATATATACCTCGCCGGGTGTTACGTTAGCTGGCTGAGTGCCATCGGGGGGTCGTGGGCGATGAAGTCGTCCCCAGTCAGTGATGTATTTAACCAAGTAAGGTTATATCTAATCTAATATAATTCTGGAAGCGAAGACTCGCTCGGGGTCCGGGTGGCGTAACTGGCAAGCGCACTGTACGGCAAGCGGAGGTTGTGGGTTCAAGCCCCGTCCTGGGCCAGTTCTTTTATTCCAGAATGTTCTAAAATTAATTTAATAATTTATTTATTTAATTTTAATTATTAATTTACTTAAGAGATGGCACCTAGCACCTACCTCTAATGACAAATTACTTTATTCTAATCATTTAATTAGCCATATAATAGCCCGATATTTAGATGATCGTTTGGCAATTTAGGACATTACACACATTGAAAAGCTAGCTGATGTTTCTGACTTCCAGGTATGGAAATTTCAAATAACTATTTTATTCAAAGCAAATGGGCTTTACAGTATAGTGGTATAGTGTCAGGGGATGTGTTATGTATGTAAACCTCCAGAGAATAACCCACACTGAATTGCCCCTTGACCTAGTTAGGTGACCCTGCACATCTGACCTTTGTCGTGTTCCTTTGTCTCCAGTCAGTTGTGTGTTAGCTGTTGTAACACTTAGACCTGGAAGCACAAAGTTACGTTTGTATTATAATAAAGTTAATTATATATGTTAACAAGTAATCGTTTATTTTATGGACACAACAGGATGTAAAATTTGAAGATCAAACGCTTGAAGAAAAGTCAAGTTGGTTGAAAAAAGATGCAAGTGATCAGAAGATTATAACTACAACAATCAGTAAAAAATTACTTACACACATCATAAACTGTTCAACAACAAAAGAGATGTTTGATGAACTGTATTTATTGTTCAGCAGAGACACTGAAAAAGAGAAGTGCCAGCTCATGCAGCAATTCTTCTCATATACTTATGAAAGAGGAACTAAAATCTTGCTTTTAGATTAAAATCTGTAAATCAGCAAATAGATGATCATATGATAATTTCAAAAATTTTATCAACGTTGCCAGACCATTTCAAATACTTTGGAACAGCCTGGGAATCAACTCCATCTGAAGAAAGAACCCTGACAAATTTAACAGCAAGACTGATGGCAGAAGAAAATAAATTAAAACATAATGAAATTTTAGATGTTGCCTTCAAATCAGCAGAAAAAAGATGCTTTAACTGCAAAAGCATGGCTCATCTCTCTCAATCCTGCCAAAATGATGACCTCTCTTGCAGAAAGGATGTTTTATTTGTAATGCTAAAGGTCACCAAGTGAGAAATTGTCATAACAAAACTAGATCACAAATAACATGCAAAATATGTAAAAAAGGTAACCACATTGACAAAGACTGTTACTTCAGGGCAAGATCTAAGTGGTATGGTGTGTGTAAGAACAACAACCATGCTGAAGAAGACTGTTATTTCAGACCTAAAACAGACCCTAATACATTTGTGGCTACATGCCATATTTAAATTGTATATTTTGTGTATAATTGTATTATTTTATATTGTATATTCTCCGCTTTCCTCCTTTCTGTCCTATTTGTCTACCCTTCCTGGAATGTTCTTGTTTTATCCTTGCTTTGGTATGTGGATGACTAATCCCAGAACAAAGGAGTGGAATGCAGCCCTGAGGGGAAGAGGGCAAACACGTGGGTCATTCCGAGAGAGAAACCCGAAGGAGAGAGAGCAAAGTGGAGTCTCCCCAGTATATTTTGCATCGTATGATAGACACGAGAACCTTGGAATTGAAAAAAATAAAAAAGGAATTAATTGTGAGAAACAAGACACATCGGCCCTTTGAACTATTATTTTGGAGAGCGACAAAAGTGAAGCTAGTCACCAACCCAACAAGAGATCTCATCCACAATACCATTGCAAGTAGCATATCTCAAGTTTTGGGTACCCTCTTTCCTATTTCTTACTTTCATTCTCTAAATTTCCTAATAAGCCTTCTTTATTCAATAGTTATAAGTAGTAATAAGAATCTAGTTTAAATTAATATAATTTAAAGTAATTGGATCATTGTGTCGGACAAAGGACTACATGTGCGTATTCTTTGTCAGGAGACTGTATTGTACGGTTGTTGAATAATTAATTGTGTGAATTATTCAGTGGGTGTAGCGTTGTTGGTATCCTTTGAAACCTGTATCGTAACGAGCGAGTTAATAAAATTATTGTATTTTATTTTATTTATTTTTGATTTTGTGTCTTTGGATCACTCGGTCTCACACATTCAACAGAAGTAGCAAAGAGAAGGTGTCCTTCTTAGCACAGTCAAATAGAATCTTGAGAGAAAAGAATTTGTGGTTGATTCAGGATGTACAACACATGACAAATGACATTTCTCTGTTAAAAAGTTTTTTCAAAAATACACAAAGTATGATGGGAGCAAAGGACTCTGAATCAATGAAGGCATATGGAGTAGGAAGAATTGAAGGCGAAGATTTTATACTTGAAAAGACATTGTATGTGCCTGATTTATGTACAAACTTGTTGTCAGTTAATGCTGTCACTGAAAATGATGGTAAAGTCACATTTACCAAAGATAAAGTTATTATCACAAAAGATGATGATATTATCTATGATTATCTATAAAGCAAGAAAATGGGCTTTATACAGTTGCCCTGAAAACAAGTAAGGATAGCTCTATGATAGTACAAAGCAAGTTTAAAGCAAACAGTAACAGAAGTATATATATATATATATATAAAAAAAAAAAAAAAAAAAAAAAAAAAAAAACAAGCTCAACTTTAGAATGCAAGATTGGATCATCCCGGAATTAGCAGCATAAAGAAAACGATTAACTTAGTTGATGGAATAAACATATCATGGAGAGATTGTGAAAAACTAGATCATACATTCCAAACATATATGAAAGCTAAACAAACACGATTACCTTTCAATAAGGAAAGACAAAAGGCAGAACGAGCTCTGCAGATCCTACATACTGATGTGTGTGGCCTTGTAGAACCTAAAACATGGGATGAAAAGAAGTACTTTTTAATGATTATGGATGACTACACCCATTATGCAGTAGTATATCTACTGAAAAACAAATTTGAAGCCTCTGAGTACATTAAAGGATTTGTACTAGAAACAGAAGCTCTTCAAAACCTAAAAGTGTCAAAATTGAGATGTGACAATGGAGGAGAATACTCCAGTAATGACTTTAAGCATTGATGTAAAAACAGAGGAATTGTTCTTGACTATAGTATTCCCCATACACCTCAACTGAATGTAAAATCTGAAAGGCTTAATCCTACAATTATGGAGAGCACTACTGTATGAATCAGGGCTGAAAAGAAGCTTTGGGGAGAGGCCATTAGAAGCTCAACTTATCTTCTTAATCATTGCCATTCTGACACAGTAGATGTAACATCTGCTGAAAAATGGTATAAAAGAAGGCCAGATATGTCAAACATAAAAGTATTTGGTTGTGAAGCTTACGCCAAAGTTCTAGGACACATCAAAAAACTTGTCTAGGAGTAAAAGACTGATCTTCATAGGATATGCTCCAAATGGATTCCGTCTGTGGGATCCAGACAAACAAAGTCATTATTGCTAGAGATGTAGTGTTTAATGAACACAGAAGAGAAATAGCCAGAGAAAAAAAAAATGTGTATGTAAGATTAAGGGAAGAAGTAGAAAATAAAGAAGGACAAGATACAGAGGAAGTGCAGGAAATTCAAGAACTGACAGATGATGAAATTGAAGAAGAAATCCCAGAACAAAAAGAAGTTGAAGAGAGCAAAATAAAAAGAGTAAGAAAAATTCCTAGCAAGTATCAAGATTGTGTTCTGATGACATATCAAGAAGCAATTGCTGGAGTTGAAAAAGATAAATGGATTACAGCAATCAAGGAAGAAAAGGAATCATTAAATAAGAACAATACTTGGGAACTAGTTAATGAAAATGAAGCAATAAAAAAAAAACAAATGGATATTTAGACAAAAGAAGATGGACGATACAAAGCATGGTTAGTAATTCGAGGATGTGAGCAAAATAACACTCTGGATATCAAGGAAATATTTAGTCCTGTAGTGAATGCTAGCTCTCTGAGTTATTTTTGCATTAGCAGCCCAGAAAAATTATTCAATGATCACATTTGATGCCAAGACTGCTTTCCTGTATGGTGAAATTTGTGAAGAAGTATTTATGAAATTACTTCAAGGCTATAATGAACCAGAAAAGATCTGCAAGTTGAACAAAGCATTGTATGACCTCAAACAAACACACCTGTAACTTGGAACAGAAAATTTACCTCAGTTATGAAAACTAATAAAAATTATGGTTCTATTATTTTAGCAATATATGTTGATGATAGAATAGTAACAGGAAAAGACATTTCTGAGTTAAGAGACCTAGGAAAAAGTCTTGAAGAACAATTTGAAATTAAAAAAGACGATGATCCAACATCCTGCGGCTGTCAGCCATGATTGTTATATATATTTTTTTTGTATATTTTTATTTGAATTAGTTTTAAGTTCCTTTCTATCTCTTTGTTCAAAAATTCTTTCTAGAACATTCTCTCTTAACCCTTCTCCCTTGGAGACAAGACTACCAATTCCTGGAACATAGGAAAACAAAAAAGGGTGTGAAGCCTGGAGGCAAAACGGCCGAAAAGAAGTCGGTCTGGGGACGGATCCCAAAGAGAAAGGCACGGAGAAGGCAGTGCTCCTGAATGTGTAAAATAGAGTAAAGAAAAATTGTAAAAAGGAGTAAAATGACAAGAGACCTCAAGGTACTGAGGGATCAGAGAAAGAAGTCATAGAGCAGTGAACGTTCAATAGAATATCAAGACCAGTAAGAGATAAAGAGGTCTATGGCAAAAAGATTAAAAGAATTTAAGAAAGGGAGAAAAAACTTGAGCATGGTGTCTTACCCTAGGATACATCGACATGAAAACCCCGGGTATTTTCCATCTTTTTTTTATCACTTGGTCCTTCATTCTTAATTCCCATCTTTTCTATTTTCTTTAGTGGTAAAGTAGTTTATAAGTTAGTTGTAAGTTAGAGTTAGTTAGATTGTCCCACGTTTGTGTGTCCTGCATTAAGAGAATTTTTGATGGTTGGATAAAGAAATGTTCAGTGCCTGTGTACCTTAAAAATCTGAGGTCAACAAAAAGTTGGGATCTAAATAAACAAAAGAACTGACTGTTTGAGAAGAAATAAAATACGTTGTGTTACAAAATATTTATCAAAGTCTATTTTATTGTACTATTCTGCTTGCAGGGTGCAGTACCTATCATTTACGAACATCACAATCCTTTCTGGGAATGGAAATACATAAAAATGAACATGGAATAAGATTGACTCAGAGCAAATATATAGGTAAATGTCTCTTCAATCCGAACAAAATTTCGGTAGACTTTCTCACAGCTCTACCGAAATTTTGTTCGGATTGAAGAGACATTTACCTATATAATACGTAATACAGCTACTATTTAAAATTCATCAGAGCAAATACTTAAAAAAACACTTGAAAGAAAATTCCAACATGAAAAATACAAAAATTGTATTTTTGTATTTTTCATGTTGGAATGAAAAATACAAAAATGGTAAACACTCCTGGATTGAAAAATATTGATAGAGACATAGAACCAGAAAAGAAGTTCCCATACAGAGAAACTGTCAGAAGTTTGCTCTATCTTGCTACCAGAACATATCCTGATATTGCTCATTCAGTTAACATAGCAAGCAGATACATTGAAAATCCCATGAAGGAAGATGTAATTGCTTTAAAAAGAATAATGAAATATTTGATAGGGACAACAGAAAAGGTAATACAATATAACCGAGAACAGAATGCAGAAACAATTAAAACCTTCTGAGATGCTGATTATGCTGGAGATGGTGAAACAAGAAGAAGCACTACTGGATTTGTAGTAATATATCTAGGAGGACCAATCAGCTGGTGCTGAAGGCGTCAACCTACTACTGCATTATCATCCACGGAAGCTGAGTATATTGCAGCTGCAGACTGCTGCAAAGAAGTGCTATACATAAAATCCCTCATCCAAGAACTTGTATGCAGGGAAATAAAAGTTGAGTTAAACTTAGACAATCAAAGCTCAATCCATCTGATAAAGACTAGAATAGTAAACAGATGCAGCAAACATTGTTGTACGTTATCATTTCATTCATGAAAAGTTTTTGAATGGTGAGGTGGACGTGAAGTTTTGTCCCACTAAAGCTCAGATTGCAGATGCACTCACTAAACCCTTGAGTAAAACTAAATTTGAGACACAGATATCAGTAATAGTCAACTGAAGAATTAAAAATACTCTAAAATTAGGGGAAAGTGTTAAGAAAGGAAAAACGGGATGATAATTAATATTATTGTTGTTGTTGCAATTATTATTATTACTATGTTGGGTTTAGTGGGTTATACTCGGTTCACACCGGTGGTGTGTACTATGCCGGACCAGAGTCAAGGCATAGCAACCAAAAACAAAACTAAAATTAAATAAGTGTGTCATTGTCAGTATTCAGGAATTTCCTAACAATATGGCATGTATTCAATATAGTGGCCTTCTGTACTGTGATGTATGTATTTCTATTCAATTGTAATGTTCCCAGGCTTTTGTGTAGTGTGTGTGGTANTAGATAAAAATTTCTGTAAACTTTATGTCAATAAACCAGTAACGAGTTGCTCGACTTTCTCTCAACAATTAAAAGTTTTGTGTCGCCATCTGTTATCACTATTTATTTTAACTATTATAAAATGACAAAAACCTTAATTTTGGGTAGGGATAAGTTTTATACAAAAATAGTAAATGCTAATAACGAGTAAAATCGACATTAACTCCGACTCTACTCGAGATATGACACACGACCACCTCTATTCCCTACCCCCTCGACCCTTAATCATCAAAATTTCATAGCATCTATCTCACTCAAAAACAAACCTCCATGCAAAATTTCAGAAATTTTCGACAAAATGCACAGGAGTTATTAAGCTTCAAACAGAGTGAAAACAATCGTGCTCCACACACAGTAACATTCATACATACAAAAAACCCCTTTTTTGCATTATTCGACGTTTCAAGGTGTCCTAAGTCCAAAAGTTTAAAAATCTTGGGTGGTCATTTCTTGACCGATCGCCATACTTTCTCTCTGTTTATATAACAGCCAGGAAAGTAAAAACGGAAACTTACATTTACTGTAGAAATTTATGCATATACAGTATAGATATATTCTTTATCACACATTTTACAAAAAGTGTATACATCGATGAAAGCTTAAATATATAGCTACACTGGACAGAAACTGTCTGATATTAAACAGTGGTCTTGAGCCATAATACAAATAATATTGAACAGACAAGAAGCAATTTCAAAAAGAATTAATTTTGTCTATAATTGGGCGGTTATGCTGCATCTCGCGCTAATTTTAATTTTAATTTAAAATTTCTGGAGAAAAGAGTCGACTCGGAGAGGGTTCGAAGTCTTCCTCTGAATCGATCGATTATTTCTTCCAGCAACTCTAAATTAAAATTAAAATTAAAGTAACATGAAGGTTGCAGAACGTATTAAATTACTTTAAAAAATTAAAAATGATTACATCATTCCTTTCCATGATAATTTATAACATATTCAAAGTACACTGAACGGTCGCTACATTAGGAATACCATGACAGCATCATGTCAGAAGCGTTAGAGGGATGTCCTATAATTGCTACGTCACAATTCGCTACAACTGTGACCTGTTGACCTGTCATTTGCATAGTAGAAAGTAATACTTGCCAGTCACGAGCAAACGGAGCGGCTTTGAGCTGGTACAGATTATTGGGGTCAGAGGGCGGGTACCAGTATTTCCGAAATTGTGCACTCGTTGGTTATTCTCGTAACACGATGCCCAGGATGTACTACAAGTGGATGAATCATGAAGTTAATTCTGACGGATCATAAACATCCACTAGAAGATGTTTATGATCCCAGAGATAAACATCGTGTGTCAAGCAAGACTGGTATCTGAAGAAAGGCGTGCCACTGTGGAACAGTTATCTGTCAGTACAACAGTGGACAAGGTAGAGATGTTTCGACAATGACCATGTGACGTACCTTGCGTTGATTGGGGTTCAATTAAGGCGCTAGATTACCCAGGTATGCTCATACGCTTCCGTCACGTGTGCAGCCATATTGGTCCTTTTGACGTCATATTCCAAGATTTTTAAATTTAGCTGTATTTTATAACTAGGTGCACTAAATTTTGGCAAAGTTTATCATTTCGACCTTGCAAAATCAGTTGAATTTATGATTATTTTCGTGTCTCTTCTATTGAACTTCTACGAGAGTCGTCTGCTTTCTAAGGACCAACATGGCGGATGAGCATACCTGGGTTATCTAGCGCCTTAGGTTCAATAGCCGTCGACCTACGTGAGTGCCTCTGTTGACTATGCATCGTCACAAACAACGCCTCGCATGTATGAGGAAAAGGCAAAATTGTCCTTGGAGATGTGGAAGACGTTCGTATGGAGTGACGAGTTCTATTTCATGCTGAACCATATTGATGGCCGGGTCCGAAACTGGCGTAAACAGCATGAAGTCGCATCTCCTGGTTGCTCAGTGGGGGTTACACAAGCTGGGAGTGGCTGTATCGTGGTCTAAGGAGCGTTCTCTTGGCAAAACTTAAGACTATTGGTTGTCATCCTTGAATGGTGAACAATACAGAGTTAGGTGACCATCTGCATCTCCAGGCTATGTTTCTTGAGAATGATGTCATGTTTCAACATGATAATACGCTGTGTCACCGGATAAAGCGTAATCAGGAATAGTTAGAGGAACGCGACAATAAATTTCATAAACTGTCTTAGCCCTTAAGCTCACCACACTACTCTATTGAACACATTTGGGATATACTGGAACGTATGGTGAAGTTGTCACCTACTCCTCGACCTCCTGAAATTAATGTTTTTCTTGTGCACTCCCTAAGAGAAAGAGTGATATTTGTTAAATTCTCTACTGTAAGAAATTGTTCGTCACATAGCACAAACTTGTTTCTGGTATGCAATTGTGGAAGACGTCTCTCCTTTGTTCCCAAGTGATACTCACCATTTTTAGTACAATATTACTGCCA